GTTTAAGTATGCTATAGTCATTGCATCAAACAAAGGCTTAAATATGAATAATTTACATCAGAAATTAAAATATGATTATTATACAATATACCTATCTATCTTTTGAAACAGATGCTAAAATGTGAGTGCCTTATACACAGCATCTATATACTGTATAGAAACAGACAAAAAAATGTGGGTAGTTTACATTGAATGTGTCAAGCATTTAAGATGTGGAAACTCAGCATTGTATCTATTCATTCTAAGAAACAGTGGCTAGGATATTACATTGTTTTATGTATATTTATTTGTTTGAGTTTGTGAGGCATTCCATGGATTCACCTAGCATACATTTGCATGACCTTAGCAGTAACTGAATATTTGATGAACTAGCATGCTGAAGAACAGGCATAATGATTTGTTGAAGGTGGGATGAAAAAGACAAGACATGGTAAGAAAGTTGAGCAAAAAATAAATGTTTTATTAACTACAGGTAACAGAAGAATCATACATTATCTGATTGGTCTAATTGTAGAATACTGTTGCATTGGAGGTTGTGAAGTTAAAAGTTAAGATAAATAGATAAACTGCATTTAAATAAAAGTATATAAAAATAAACTATTTGTTAAACACTAAACTGTTTAGAAGTAAAGTTTTTATACCATGAAAATCAAGGTAGAGAGATCTAAACAACAGACAAAACTTTCATAGATAAACTTAACTCCTTCAAACAGAAATAAGTTGATGAATATGCTAAAAGTGAATTTACAATTCCTCTTTTCTCTGTAGCTAACCAAAAAGAAAAGTGGTTAACTCTCTCCACATGATAGGCATAGAACAGATCCACATACACAAAGTAAGGGACAAAATACAACCATCCTATGAAACAGTAGATAGTTTCCGTGACTTGTTACAGGAAGGAGCACCTTGGGTTGTAGACCTGAATTAGCACATAACCTTAATCACATTTAGTATGGTCCAAATTAGAACCTTAGAAAAGTATGAAATATACACTAGGAGAGCTATACAGTGATGACATTTTGATCTGCCTTTACTTGAATAAAATGGAAACAAATGAAGCAATATTTAAAAAAATGAAAATAAATTAAAATGATTTAGTTGCTTATCTAAAAAATATATGCTATCAAAAGAATAAACAATAGAATAGCTACACTTCTACACTTCTACACTACAAAAACACCTCTGGCTGAAAAATTGTCAGAATTGCTCTTTCGGTAACAATGGCTATCATAACAACCAACACTTTTATAACTTTATATTGTTTTCAAAATTTGTGGAACATTTCCTGACTACAGTTTTTACATAACTGTTCGGGCCAATGAAAATCTGTACCATGAGATTGAAAAATTTCTTTAGATGATACCAATCTTTGATTATCTCTATTCTTATGATATTTTTGGACTGGAAATTAGTGTATGGTGACTTCAGACGCTACTATCTTAGCTTTTTCCTTTTTTATGGGAATACAGAGTAGTTATATTGTAATCTTGTGTATGATTGGCTAAAATAAGAGAGGCATTTTTTCTTTTGTCTCTGATTGGATGTGTATGTTCAAACATTTGTATTTGACTCAGACTTAACTAGTTCATCTCACAATTCAGCTTCAGTAAAAAACAACAAAACACTCTTGTCTTCATGTTCACCATTAAAGCCCAATGTTAGATATACATGACTGTTGCAGTTTAAGTTTAATGAGAGTGTTAAATTTAGTTATCTTTAGAAGTGATAGTTTATCTCAAGTTTGTTTTTGTGATTGTTTACGAATCAAACGTTGTGTAGTTCAATAGTTATGAATTGGTGATTGTTATGTTATTGCATCATGTCATTAGAACCTTCAGAGTTTTTCTCATTGTTTTATTTGAGTATCATTGTATCATATTATCTTGTAGTATGAGGAACATTCTAGACCTTTGTTGGGGTATAAATACACATCAAAAATTGAGTAAGATAGATAAGATCTATCTGTGTGATTGTGAGTTTAGCCATAAAAAGCATATAGTGACGATTTTTAAAGTGAAATTGTCACAGATGTATTGTAATAACAGAACAGGAAGAATAATCTGTATTCTCAAATTGTGTTCTAAAGTAACTGAGCCTACCTGTGTGGACTTTCACACACAAAAAAAAACACAATTATTTTGAGCTGTAGATACAATTGTGGTAACCAACAGTGTAATGAACGTTTGGCTTCTTTAAATATATTATTTTAAAACAAGTGACTTGTATATTGTTTGTTTGTTGTTGAAATTTGTCACCAACAAATCACAGACACCTACTGTAAAGCATTTGATCTTTTCATAAAAACTGACACCCAGTTGATCTACTGTTGTTATTTTGTGTACTTTAGTGAAATCAATTGATACAAAACAGTGAATAAAATTAACAGTTCTAGTTAAAGTTCAAATGTTTTAGTGTGTAAAACTTTTCTTCCTCTTAGAGCCCATTTAATCTTATTTTACACATCTAAACTTTAACTCCAAACTGGTCAATTCTTACACTGAGATGATTCAGTATTCATTCTGGAAAGTTCACTGACTAACTGCCAAGTAGATCTGGCACTCCTCTGGCCATTTTGAATGAATCTTCACTTAAGAATACCACACTCTCTTTCTGTAGCAGACCAATCAGAAAATTGAAATATCTCTGCTACATGTGACAAAAGTAAAGCAGTTCTACATTCACAAGTTAATGTAGGACACAATATAACTACCCCATAAAACAGCAGATAGCTTACATAACTGAATCCATGGTTTAATTGGGATATACCCCCAACTGGATTTAGCATGTTCCAATTTATTATTTTAGAAATATAAATAAATAGCTCTAATACTATTAGTTACATTAATTGTTCAAAAGCAATTATATTAGCACTATAAAACAATGATGAACTTAATATGAAATAAGCATTACAGTAGAATTGTCATTGTCAGTCCTAGTTGTCAAATTGGTGTCATAATGGATAATGCCTGTGGGAACAGCACCCTAATGCATTTGTGATAACCCATCTATCAGACAAAATCCAAATGCTGATGTAAAACTAGCCAGTAATCATAGAAAATCAATTAAGGGTATGGAGCTGAGTGCTTACAACCACAATATTTCAACTCCTACTGCCTTTCACTGTCTGCAGCCAGTTGTGGGAAGGCAGTTATCCTTAAAGTTCTTAAAGTAGAAATGAAACCACCCTACATACAAGTATTCACACGCACACACACACGTGTCATTTCAAATTATATATATATGAAATATCTACTATGAGAGAGTGAGATGTTGGGCTTTTCTATACTCTATCATTCTTTAAAGTATGACCTTACCATCAGATCCATTGGTTGAAGCCCTGCCAGAATCACTATCATGATCTGTGTCGGATCCATGATGAGACAGTGTCAACTGATATCCACAACCAAACTGACTCTTCAACAACAAGGGTGAGCCATAACAAAGAAGTTTACCCTAGATATAACAATCGGAACAGTTATTCCTAAACATACACTTAACATATATAAATATATATATATAAACACACACACACATTAACTTTTTTGAGAAATAGCAATACCAAAACTCACTAATATAATCACAATTTCTGACATTTTATCATTTGAAAGGAGTCATTCTCACTGAATGTATTGACATATATATAGTAAGCTTGGTTCGAAAGAACAAGGTGGCATCCTAACACTTTAAAATGGTCGAGAAAGCCACTAGAGGGACATTCTGAGCTTTCAATTGGTTATTCACAACATATATTTAAGTAAGTGTATATAAGGGACAGTTTCCAGAAATGGAAAGAGGTGAGTGGGGCCACTGTGTTTGATTCAGTACACGAGCGATATCTCGGCAAATAGAAAAGATATGAGGTTCTTATTTTATATTCTAGCTTGTCAATATTGGTAACTTGAGTTCCTAATTAAACGAAACTATAAACTTGGTATTTTGACATCACAAACATCTAATTTGAGCCAGTGCTACATTCAACATACCACGTGACACACAAAAATTAATGTTTAACTGTTTTTTTTAATATTTACATTCAAATTATGAAATTGAATAATGTATAATAGTAAAATTTGAATTATAATCTACAGTTTGATACCAAATTTATTGACACAAATTCATAAAATAGTAGTTCAATAAAACTTTTAATGCGAGTCAACAAACACTACGGCATGGCCATTGACCCATCTGGAAAAGGTTAATGCCCAAAATAATTGAGTTAGAGAAATATAGCTTACTAATTCTGTAACATAAACAAACTTTCTTCTTGCTAATTTTTGGGATTGTCCATACATACTAGTCGCTAATGTGTAAAAATATAAAAAACTTAAAGCAAGCCAATAAATGTAAACTATAGGTTACTTTTATCAGAATGCATAGTTTATGAATCAAGTTTTCTAAGGCTCTATCAATTTATAGCAAGTTTCTCAACTTCACAACTTACTCTGTGAATCATTGCTACACGATCACTTAGTATATCTGCTTCATCCATGTGATGAGTGGTCAGCAAAATGGTTCGTCCTAGAATGACAGGAAAATCTCATAGTTAATATTATACAAATAATCCTAATATTTAAATGTTAATACCTATTGAATGAGTCACAGCCTAAAAAAATGCTATTTTTTACCCATATTAATATTGCATGATAATCATGATATTTAAAGAGTAATGAAATATTGGATAATGCTATCCTAGAAAAAACTTTATTTATCAAAAATATAAAGTTTCTCAAAATATGAACAGTTTGGAGGTAAATAGCAGTTCCTGCCATTAGTGTTCTTATAAAACAAATAAACTGAAGCCTGAGATCTTTATGATCTAATTTTCAATATATTTTAATTTTAGTTGACATTTCTACAGACAATTAAAAATATTTACACAGAGGATTGTAATCATTTAATATTTCTAATTAGACTACAACTAAATGCAAAGATTTATTCTACCAAAAATAATATTTTTAGCTTTAGAAAATAAATTTTACCCTACCATTGTTTAAAGTTTGAGCTTATTTAAAATCAGCTTTTAATCATTCCTAGAATAATATAAATCTTTTACTTGTAAATCAACTATAATCCCATAGTCAGAAGTCTTGGCTTTTTATTAAAATGTATGTCATTTGAAAGCAACTTATTTATATTACAAATATCAATAATTAGTTAAATAATTATAATTACAATGTTAGACTCTTTTGATACATGTTATGAAACTTAATAATCCAATTTTACAATGTAGACATTTCAGGATTTTTTTCAGGTTTAGACTATCACTTCCAATAAAAATAAATTTAGTTTTCAAACATTTACCATGTCTATATTTGACAATTAAATCCCAAATATTTCTCCTAGCAACAGGGTCCACACTACTTGTTGGTTCATCCAGAATAATCAACTTAGATCCACCAACGAAAGCCAAAGCAACACATAGTCGTCTCTGCATTCCTCCTGACAGAAATTGAGCTTGTGTGTCTTGAAGGTTCCAAAGACCTGTGCTGTGCAGCATCCTGAAATGTAGAGTTAATGAAGAAATTTATGCAAGGTTTTATTTACAATAAATTATAGAAAAGATTATTCCTACTACTTTGGTAGCTGAAGAGATATTGATATTCATATTTTTATGAAACTTTATATCTACGAAAAATAATAGTATATATGCACTACCAAGGAGTGTGTGTGTGTGTGTGTGCTTGAAATAATATTGGGTAGGTTTGTCAAAAAACATAAAGCTAATACAAAAAGAGTACATAACAACAAATTTCTACTAAACATGAGAAATAAAAAAGATTAAAAAAGGTGACAGGGAAATAAAAATACAGAAAAGAAGAACAAAAAAACATTCTTGTTTTTTGAATTTGGTTAATTTTTAAACTTGGGGGTAAAAATATTTTACCTGAATTGTTTTCTTTAATGGTTACCATGCAAAATATCTAACATTATACTTATTTTTTTTGGATTAATTAAAGTCTGTTTAGTTTCACATTTATAAATAAATAAATAAATAATATATATATATACACCTGGAAAAAGTTAAGCACCCCGGTGTTTTTTTCAAGTGATTCAGATTCGACGTTCTTGTGACTGATTAAAAATTACCATTCAATCTAAACGTGTTTATCAAATGAAATTATGCATTATTGGACACAAGGAAACAAGATTATCACCGTAAAATAACAATTTTTAATTACATATCATGACATCAAAATAT